TTACATTAAATTTCATTTGTAACATTCCTGGTCATGGCTATATTCTATTAAGATTTCCCTGTAGCTTTATCCCATACTCTAGTCTGTCTACTGTTTTCAAACCAAGGTATGGTTGAGATTTTACCCCTATTTCAAGGTCATTTATACAGAAGCTAAATGAGATTGGCCCTAGTATAGAACTCAGGGAAACTATATTTGTTAATTCTTTTTTTTTTCTACAATCTTCCACTCACAATTGTGGGGAAGGGGTGTGTGTGTGTGTGTGTGTGTGTGTGTGTGTGTGTATGTGTGCATTTTACTCTTCCTTTTAAACTTCATTCTCAGATACAATTTACTAATCTATTAATACAACATTTTACGAACATGAGCAAATAATTATTATAGAAAAAAAGAGTATAACACTTGTTCCAATGGGAACAAACCTATAAATACATCTACAGTTATACATGTTAAAAATTAAGTAAAGAAGAAACATATCGAAAGGTATAAATATCAAAATAGGTAGTAAAACTGATTATATGAACATCTTTACATACTGTTCCCAGTTGTAAACAATAATCCAAAATTTAATATCCTCTTTTTATGTTTTTTAAAAATTAATTTAGCCTTCCATTTTGAAGGTTTCATATGCATAGGATTTTACAAGTTTTGAACTAAGATTTTATGATTTATCAGGACCATTTTTTAGTTATATGTATTATTTTTATAAAAGTGATAGTGTTATGCTTTATAACATCTTAAAATATTTAAGGAATTGAGAGCTTATCACATTTATTGTTAAAAAACACTGGGCTACAAAACCAATAATTTCTAATTTGTTATATTTCAGTGGTTGGAATATGAATCAGAAATGTGAATTGTTATGAGATTTCCTTAGCACATAGTTATAACAGTTAATAGAAAGCATTTTTATGTTAGAAAAGTGTGGTCTTATGTATCTGTAAGGGGATCTTATTATTTTGGGGATCTATATTTACAACCATAGATGATTCTGAGAATTTAACTTTTACACCTTTATTTATTCCTGGGATACCCATGTATATAAAAGTGATCACTGATAATTTTTTCCTACCATTGTTTAGCTAAGGAATTAAATGGGAAGTATGTTTTCTTAGGAATATCTGCTTTGGTACTTTAAAGGCTGATACTTGAAAGGCCCATGCATTCCTGTCTATAAATGGCCATGTGAAGATGCCCTGAGACCACATAGAGAAGGAAAAAAAAAAAAACCCAGATGAGCTCAGCCTTCCCACAGTTTTGCCAAAACACAAGGTAATGAGGGGAGCCATTTTTGACCCTCAGGCTAGTCCTGGTTAACAGCTTAATACCACTGATTGATCCATGTTGATACCTCATGAAACAGAATACTCTCCCAGCCCAATCCTATCTAAATCTCTAATGCCCAGACTGTGAGCATAATAAGATGACTGATTTTTTTTAAGCCAATAAATTTTGGGTCAGTTTCTTATGCAGCAATAGGTAACTGGAAAACTACCTTTAAGATTGTATAAAAACATTTATTATACAAAATATAGTTTCCATGCATTTACAAATAACTTATTCTTTAAATAGTTTATTATTTATTCAGTAAAAAAACTAAAAGTCAGCTTCTTTTAGTTTTTTTTCTGTTAGCTTCTTTTTCTGTTTACTCTTAAGTTTTTTGTTTTACAGTTCTCCAACATAGTTCTTTTTTTTCTTTTCCAATACATTTTAACTGTTAATTTATATGTCTTGCTTCTTTCCTTAGACTATATGCGGGTCTAAGATCATATGTATTTCTTTAGTAGAATAACACGAGGTTAAGCAAATACACTTTTGCTCAGACAGTCTGGGCTCCTGGTCTGTGTAACTTAATCTCAAAAAATTCTCAGTTTCTTGATCTGTAACACAGAAGAATGAATAATATTTAATCAAGAAACTTTTAAAGATTAATCAGGATGATCTTCAATACAGAATAGCATAGAAAGTTCTTAAAATATTTTAGCTTACTAAATTTTCTGCTCCTAAATTTTATTTCCTGACAAGATAAAGTTAACTCATTTCCCCTCCCACCTAAAATAATAATAAAAGAGATAATATATATGAAGCAACAGTTTTCAAGGTGCTGAACATCCAACAACAACGAACAGTGATCCTCAAAACACAGGAGAGAAGTCAAGTGATGCTAGGAGTGCTCTACCTCACACTGAGGGCCTCCTTGCTGTGACAGAAAGAGGGGAAACACAGATTGAGTCTAATGGGCCGTGAATTGAGGAGCTGGAGCTGAGACAGATCAAGGCGTCAAGTATTCATAGGAGAAAGTATGGGAGATGAGAGCTTTGCACAGAGAGAGGATTCTGGATATCTCAGAGGGCCTCCTTCAGGCATTCAATGGAGTATTGGTCAACACAAGCATGTGAAGGGGCTACCTCACACCAAGGGAAAAAACAGCTAAAAGGATCATAAGTAACAGGATATGGAATTCACCTAGGGCCAGAAATAGTCCTGTTTTCATCAACAGACTGGAAAACTTTATGACCTAAGGAGCACTGGGTAGAATACATAGAAGGGTCTTGCCTAGTAGTAGAGAATAATTATCCCTGGACTGGGCACTGCTCCAGTCCCACCTAACACAGCTTGAAAGCAAGATGTGAAAAAATTAAATCACTTCTAAGTTACCTAAGCACATCCAATGAACACAGCTCAAGAATATTTACAGATTCACAAAAATATCCAGAACCCACATAGGTAAAATTTATAATATTTGGCATTTAATAAAAATTATCAGGTTTTCAGAGAAGCAAGAATAATGCTATGTTCTAACCCTATAATGAATAAAAAATATACAATTAAGTTCAACTCACATAGATGTTAGAATTAGTAAAAGATATTAATGAAGTTATTATAGCTGAATTATACATGTTCAAAATATTAAGTGTAGATATATGATCTATATCAATCAGCCTTCTTGTCATGAAAACTATGCTGTAGGAGATGATAAAAAAAAACACTGGAGAGAATTAATGGCAGATTAGATAAAATAAATTACACTTTGGTAATTAATACACTTCACACATCTATTGAAAAATGATTTAAAAATAGCTATATAGAACATAAACTCAGAGTTATATAGAAAATAACAGGGAAGGAAAATAACATGTTTTGTAGTTGTACACTGTCCTAGGTACCTTGCACACATGATCTCATTTTATTCTCTCAATATAATAATTCTTACAACAAAAACAGCCACATTTGGTTCTCACAATAATACTATTCATGTTTTTAAAATGAGAAAACTGAAGTTCAGAGAACTTCAGAAACTTGTCCAATATTACATTGCTTGAGATTATAAGAGCCAACATTTGAGGTCTGGCTTTTTAAAGCCAGAATTATTTTGGTTTATTTCTCCACCCTCCTGAACTCTTTCCTGGAAAAAAAAAATCACTATTTCATTTCCTATCCACATTCCTATCAACAGGAAAGAGGGTGATAGGGTAGGACTGTGAAACTGGTTCACAAAAATACTGCTTATTTTTTATTGGGCAAAATCTAGTTATATGCCCACATCTATTTAAATGGGATGCTGGAAACATATTCTTTAACTGGGTACCAAATCAATAATTGGCTGTTCTTATAGGCCCCGCCAAAGCTTGCTCTAGGATGCTGCAGCAGGGCTATTCAGTTCTGTAAGCTGATCCCCAGAGTTCATAGATCCCCACAGTAAGAAACAAACTAATAACAACAAAAGCAAAAGAAGAAGAGGACGAAGAGGAGGAAAGAGCAGAAAGGAGGAGGAGCAGGAGGAGAAGGTGGCAAGAAGAGAAAGAAGTAGCTGTTTTCCCCAGAGTCAATGATAAAAACACTATTTGTAAAATTCAAAAATACTTAACACATGGTTCTGCTTACCCAACAGATCTGTGGCATTGTACAGAGAAGATCTAAAGAAAATACTTCCTGTTGGAGCAAGCAAAAACAGGAATAGTGCCTGAAGGAAGCAAGTAACCACTATTGTTATGGCAAGTTACAAATCCCATACATTGTGGCTTGTAATCTACACTTTGTTAAATAGCATGAAAAAGTCATTCCAAAGATTAGTTTCTTTTTGTAATGTTAAACTTTTACAAAATTCATCTCCAGAAGATGAAATAGAAAACAGTGCTATTATAAGAAAATTCCCAAAGTATTTTAATCAATTCATTAAAAAAAAAGGAAATAAAATCCCCATAAATGTAGACCTTAAATAAATATTATATTTTGAAATAACTCTCTTCTTAAAAAGTATCACTTGAACAATAATTTTTTCCATTTAGAATGTAATACATTTCAGTGAGGAAAAATTGGACAAATGTTTGAGAGCTTCTATTTTATTCCTTTACTGGGAAATATCACATACAATTTGTTTAATTATTCAAAGATGGCCAAAAGGGACAAAATAATGTTGAGGTGTAATGTGAGTAGATTAATAGTTCTTTTTTTAAATACAAAAGTGAGATGTATTAGAGACAGGAAAAATGATTTGAGGCAAACAGAACCAGGACTCAGAAGATAATATCATTTTTCTTCTGATTTTTATTATTTGAACAGAACTTCGAGTTTCAATCTTCCCCAATACTGTATCTCATCCTTTACCACTGTCTTTCTCTCTTAAAGCTGTTGAGGAGAGAGTCAGGGGGATGATAAGGAGTGGAAGATGGTTGAGAGAAATGATTAATAGGATACTAAAATCATATATAGTTAAAAAGAAGTTACTGTAGAGGTATCCTCTATATTCTAAACTATGTATGAACTTAGCTATATCTCAGAAAATTTATACCATGTTCTCAAAAATCATTGTTTCATTTTTTCTTTAGTTATAATTTCAGATTACTTCTTCCTTTTGTTCATATGGTGTTTTCCATTTTATCTTAAAACCAATACCACATAAATAAAATAACTGCAATTGTGTCTCTATCTATCTATCCATCCATCCATCCATCCATCCATCTATCAATCATCTATATTTAGCTTAAAATGTGTAGGGAATCCTTTTGCAGTTCATAAGCATGATGATTGGGTTTTCACATTCCTGTGTGAGATATACCTTCCTCAAACTTTGTTATAACATCAGCACATTACCTAACGTGAAAAAAAAAGTATACAGAAGTAACTTATACCATTAATGACAAGTAGTTTAGAAAGATATTTTTCTCAGGTCCAGCTAAGATATAATGTGTCTTTCTGGCTAACAAAACACTATAATTTCAAGTATTTTCATTTTCATATTTTGTTCCCAAAAGATAAGTGGATATAGCTCAAATATAAATCAAATGGATAAGATCAGATTCACGGGCTTATGATATGGTTCTTAATCCTCCATCCAACATTCCCATTAAAATTGTCTACAAATTATGAAAATGTGAGGGAAAACGTTCATGCCACAAAGATAGCTAAAGGAAAATATCACCCATATACCAGAAAACTCGTGGAGTTTCTGCTAGATACAATGTCAAAGGCGCCATTTTGAATCAAATCAAATAAAAAAGATAAATCACTACAACACAAATTGGCAACATTTTACACAATCCCACTTCTTCCACTTTCTTTTGAATACATAGTATTTTTAGTCAGTATTAAGAGTAAAACCCTAAGTAGGCTCCTTCAAATGACACCCCATTAATTCAGAAAGGTTTTAACTGCCCAGCCCTCATTAAACATTATCTGGATCTCTATCACCATCAAGAAACAAGAATATTTTAAAAACAGCCATTACCAAAATTGATTCTCTCCCACAATGTTCCTGGGTGGCTGAATCCTCAAATAATATCCTGCTAAGAGTCTCACTTTCATCTGAGGTCACCCAAACATGAAAATTTATTTGTGAAAATTTTGAATGGAGATCCACACTTACTATCAAAATAAACCAACTCAAGTATTTTATTAACTTCAATATTGGCAAATATATGCAGTTTATTAAACTGTATGAATTTGATGATGTACAAACATAAAACAAATGTTTTCCTCCTTACAGCACTCTTCTCTATTTGATATGATTTGGCTCTTAGACAACATCCTAAGTCTCATGTTGAATTATAATCCCCAGTGTTGGAGGTGGGGGCTGGTAGGTGGTGACTGGATCATGAGGGTGGTGTTCACGAATGACTTAGCACCAGCCCCTCAATGCTGTTCTCCTGATAGTGATAGTGAGTCAGTGAGTTATTATGAGATCTAGTTGTTTAAAAGTGATTAGTGTGCACCTTCCACCTTTCTGTCTTGCTCTTGCTCTGGCCACATAAAACATGCTTGCTTCTCTTTCGCCTTCTGCCATGGTTGTAAGTTTTCAGAGGCCTTCCCAGAAGCAGAAGCCACTATACTTCCTATAGAGCCTGCAGAACTGTGGGCCCATTGAAACTCTTTCCTTTTTAATTACCCAGTCTCCAGTATTTCTTTCTAACAGTGCAAGAATGGACTAATACACTATTCAAAAGTTATTCCTAGAGTAAATGCAGAGATTAAATAATCACTAAGCATCTAGTTGTTGTATAATATGACAGTCTTTCTTTGGGGCATCCTGTTGTCCATGATTTATTCACATGGAACTCTATTTTCTTGGCCTGTAATGATAGGAAGCCGCCTTCATCTCCTATTTTCCTCCTACTAAGAACTCTGTAATTCTAACCTTTTATTTTCTTCCCTAGGCCTTTATGTTTATAGACAAAATCTATGTTGTGTTGGGTAATGATTGGGGATGGCATAGATTGTTCAACTAATTTTTTGTTTGTTTGTTTGTTTGGTGTTTGTTTAATAGAATGTCAACAGAGCTTTGGGTCATGTTCAACCAATTCTTAAGTCCTGGGAAGGGAGTTTAGTTCCCAATGTCTTTTTACCACTTTTATAATATATGTGGATTTTTTCCTTGGCTTCAGCCTCTAATTCCCACTTCTGTTGCAACAGGAACCTTACATTCAACATATTCTTAGACATGAAGCGTTTTGTAATTCAAAGATACTACAATGCTGTGAAAGTGTTCTGCAGCCAACTGTGATGGAAGCAACAATCTGACAAAAATTCTTAGAGAAGCCATCAAGCAAGGGAATAATCCAGGCTAGGGAAGAACTATTTAGACGTGAAAAATGGGCTTTCTAAATTATTAACAGTGATGATGCATCTGAATGACAATGGAACTGTGTAATGGGTTAAAAATAGATGCTTTTTTCCTTTCTTTGTATAGACAGGCTATGTGATAGCTTGACCAACTCAATATGGTGAGGAAGTGATGCTTTGCCTGTTTCTGGGTCCAGATCCTTAGAGATCGCACCCTCCATTTCCTGACTCCTGCAAAACTTGCCATGTACAACTGTTCTGAGACTGCCATTCTGAATGGACCATGTAGAAAAATCACTTGAAGCAGCCCAGAGACTTCACAAAAATAAAACGTTTCTTAGCCCTCCAACTATCCCAGGTCCCAGGCCATTGGTGCACCCTATAGAGAGCTGTGATTAAAAAGACTAGCTACCCCTACCTGGACCTGTCTAAACTGCAGAGTCATGAACAAATGTAATGATTGTTGATATTTTAATCCATTCAGTTTTAAGGCTATTTGATACATAAGCAGAACATATAGTATAAGCAGAAAAGACAGTATGGAAAATAAAGTAACATATAAAAGATGAACTCAATAAACTCCCTAAAAGAACTGTTTAAAAAAAAGGTGATAAAAATTACGAGGAAATTATAGCTTTGATGTAAAGATGCAGAAAATTTGGCACAAAAGTAGAACTTTGAGAAAGAGAAAATATACCTTGCTCTTGTTTCTACATGATATGGCCATAATTTGTTTCTCTAAAATATTTTTCAGTTTAAAAGTCATAAATCTGTTTCAAAGGAAGGCAGCCCATTCATTTAAATATAGAAGAAAGGAAGAAAAATAAAGGAACACGAGAAACATCATTATATCTCATATACCTGTGTTGCATCAAATTACAAAGAATATAGAAAATTTGAACAATAAATTAAGGGTGAATGAAGTCATGTTTGCCTTTCAACTTCCCAAATATTATATGATACCTTCTTCCTTTCAAGTATTCATTAATTATTTTTTTAAAAAATTGTTATTTCACAAGGCTAAAAATAAAACATTGCTAAGTATAAGACAGGGAAAATTAAAAGCTTCATTCTCTAACCATGCTATTAAAAATGTGTGTCAAAGTCTAAACAATGCTTACAGAACACTTGGACATCACTCCTCTTTCTCCAACACTACCTAACACATATTATAGACACCCTCCCAAACACTCTTTCACATCTGAATATTTGTTGACGCGAAAAAAAGAAAAGTAAAATTACAGTGATAAGAAAAATCCTGTGTGAAAACTTTGAGACAAAAGGCACAGTTTTACTCATAAATAAATAGCCTAAATAGCTTACTTTAATAATAAGGCATTAAAGTTTTAGATAAAAATTAAAGTAGTTTTATGTGTTTTAAAAACTTTATTTTCTATGTTTTTATTTCATTTGAAATAATTAAAAAATAATGTTATATGAAAATAAACTAACAGTTTAAGTGGTTGATAATAAAAAATAAACATGCAGAAAATAATAGAAAAGGGAAAAATTGAAAATAAATGTTAAAGTAAATATATTAATAAAGAAGCAAAAATATAATTTATAAATAACTTGTAAACCTGATGTTAGAAAGTTCAGTACTACAAGTGTGGCCAAGTTGTTTTGAAAATGAGAGAAAAACAGAAAATGGTATTTTTTCTCATTCTCAAAAATGATAAACTGGAAAGTTTATATGACAATATAAAGGTATATTATCTTTAACTATGGGAGAATAATATATATTAACAGTTGAAAATCTGCATTATAGCACATTTCTGAAAAAGTATAATTTATTAGATTTCACAATAGAAGTATACAATTTTTTAGCTCAATAATGTGAAGAAAACTGAGTAGATCAATAATGTGTTGTCTTAAAAATAGCAGAATTCTGCTTGAGAACTTTTCAAATTATAAATCTAATTTCAATGCTTTATACATAACTTTAGAAAATAAAACTTCTTAAGCCATTTTGTAAATCCAGAATTTTGACAAGATATCAAATTTTTTACAAGAAACTTGGGAATAAGTTTTAAGAATATGACATAATGTAAAAATCCTAAAGACTGTATGCCAAACTTTTAAAAAAATATATTGATCAATAGCATTTTAATAAAATGAAACGCCTATTTTGATATTAATTTTTAAAAGTAGAACACACATCAATATATATTTAATTTTGCAAAAAGAATGTGAAAGACTGGAGGAAGTTTACTCAAGATCCATACTTAAGTATGTTGGTATTTCTTCTCTATACTTCTTTTAATTTCTAGTTTTATAATAAACAAAAAGCTTTTATAGTTTAATAACTTATTTTTAAATAATATGTTAGTAATTCTATCATTTAACTATATTGCAAGGATTGTATCATCTTCCAAAAGAAATGCCTTATTCTGTAGGCATGTACAGTTTTTTAAATGTACATATTTAAATGTCCATGTTTTAATTTGAGAACTGAAGAAACATGGCAGGTATTAATAATATGTTAGCATTATTGCAGACACTCTATTTCTTTTTAGAAAATGTCCACTTTAATGTAATAATATATGAGAGACACTATTGCTTTACACTTCATAGTATAGAAATCTATGAACATATCAAGTTTAGATAACATCAATCCAATAAAAAAAAGAGCTATCTCTAAGTCATAAAAGCTTATGTTTTTAACAGCTACCATCATTGTAGTAAATGGAAAAAAAGTTTAAATTATTTGGTTGTAAAAATAAACACTATAAAAATCTATAGATTTTCATAACAGTCATATTGTCTAAAAGTATTTAAATGTGTGTTCTAACTCACTCTATTTTTTATTTTGTTAATTTTATTTTCAAGGGACTGCATACAATAGAAAAAATGATAAAAATATTTAACTTTTTAGCTCCTATAAGATGAAAATTTTTCAATTAAAAAAACAAACAAGTAAAATACTAATCATCCATAGTTGAGGTCAAATGTGTTCAAAATATGTTGGTTTCATTCTTTTAATTCTTTTTATAGAGATGAAATTGTGTATTTGCTATATTATAATATTAAGAGTTTGGATATGTTT